TCGGGTTACGGACGGACAATAGACATCCACACTGTACTATAAGGACTGTGTGTCTTCAGACCTTGAGTACCATGGTCCAGGCACGTTCGCGCATTCCAGCATCTAATACAAAGTGTCTGTTGTCAATTAGATAGTTCACTATTCACCCGTACTATTGAATCAGGATTGCGGAGCCAGTCCATTTCCTAAGTGGCGTAGCATGCATCCTAGTACTTAAATCAGACATTCCTCATGACATTTCTCGGGATTTTTGAGTTTATTCTTTGTTTGAGGTTAACTCCTCCAGCGCTTTGATCCACGAGCCTAATCACAGGACAATCGTGACAAGCATGCTTACTTAGTCACCATTTACGGCCGTCATGGGGATTTGTGACTTTTTATAAGACAATCGGCCGACCAGAGCGCCGCCACTTTTTATTTGTGAGCTCTAGAGCCGAAGTCCATTCCATTATGCGTCACTTGTGGACGCCCTGACTGTCTAGCAGCCAGGCCAACGAGTAATCCGTCTTCCCAACTGTGCATTTCACTATAGTAGCAAATCTGCGAACATTTTTAAACCTCGACACGTTAATGTTCGTGCCCTAAAATGTTGCCAGCTGACGAACTAACTCCTGCGGATTGAATGTTGCGTTATGGTTACCTTTTATGACAACTCCTATTGATGACGGAAAGCAGTTACTATTGTCTACCTCCTATGAAGTGATGTATCAGCGTATATGTCTCGTAGACGTAGACGGGGGTTTGGGGGCATGGTGCTCCATCCGTCGCCATCCGCCATAAAACAAGTCGCGTGCCAGTTGCTACTGGCTCATGGGGCAGTGAAAAACGATTTTCATCAGGCTGAATGACACCTCAAGCCGCCTTCGACGGCCGTCAACACAGTGTCTGACCTTTCTTCCCGATAGGTACCTTTCTGTTGAATAAGAACAACTTCTTTGGCAACATCGTTTTGTTGATGTACTGCTTCATAATTGGGTGTTTGTGTACTGCGGAGGACTTTCAACCAACGCTCATCGTCCTTAGTACTCCTCCGTTTTTCTAGATACCCTTATGTCACAGTTTTGGCCGATCTCATAGATTTTCTTCGCTTTTTTCGTCCTGACACAATTCTGCGTTGTGTGTGTG